TAGGCTTTGAATGAAAAATTCAATCATGCCATTCCTCCAGAAATGCCGTCCACGCTACCAGATGACTTTTTTGCATGTTGTATTAAATGTTTATCTTGTGGGTAAGTACTTTCAATTGATTTAAACTTTTTGTATTTATTTTTCCGTTTTATTTTGAAGAAGTAAATGCTCAATGACTGCCAATCATCAAAAAGAAAATATTCCTCATCAATGTGATAAACGATGTTCATATAATAAAGATTTAGATAATGAAGTATGGAAATGTTTACAATGCCATCGTGAAGGTCGTGATATTATCGTATATGGAAAATTAATTACAAAAGGTGATGGTCTTGTACAGGGACTTTTGAAATATGTTTGGTCGGGTTTCGTTATCGAATGTCCATATCACGGAGAAATTTATCGTTCGAGAAAACATTGGTATGGAAATAATGAACCAAAAGATGTAACACGTGTTGAAGTTATTCATGTTTGGCCAGGAGAAGATAACAGTCGATTAGCAAGTGATGTTACACCAAGAAAATTTATTGAATTAATCGTCTTCGCTGGAAGGTTTGTTTTGAATTTATATAAAGCAAATTAATAATACTATATATATTGTTTTAGTTATCTATCGGCTCCAACAAAAATGATAACAGAAATGGTAGCTGATCAAGTAGCACCATCGTATTGGATTCCAAATAAAGATGTTCATGTAAAATAATAATTATTTTATTCTAAATAAATAAGAATAATTGTTTCTATTTTAAAGAAATGTTCATCATGTGATTTACAATTTGGGTCAGATTTTTCTAAACATCATTGTCGAGGTTTGTTGTGCAGAATGTATTTAAAAATAAAATAATATTTTTATTTAGCATGTGGTCATGTATTTTGTGATACATGTACAACAAATCGACGTGTTATTCCGTGGATTGATACTGAAAAAGCCGTGCGTGTATGTAATAATTGTTATGGTAATCCTAAATCACGACCACCTTCATCGTCATCATCATCAACAAATTCATTTTCAACATCCTATGATAAGTCTAAACAACAAAATCAAAAACCAAAAAATAATGGTTATGAAACTGGTAGTAGCGGAGATTCCGGAAGCATTGTCACGTCTGGTGAGCATCTCAGCGATTTATGTTTAACTCCAACTGATATTTTCGATATCGAACAGCCAGGAGCAGGTATGGCAATGGTCGGTTTTTGTCCAACGTTTGCTCGTTTATATTGTTCCACTTCGTCTTGTTTTGTGTTAACGCTCCTTATGCATGCTGTTCTATCTCTCAAAAAAATATACTTCCTATTTTCTCCTATTCTTTCAAAAATTTATTTATATTTATTGTCTTTTTTTTATCTAAGGTCCAGTAACAGTTGACATTCCTACAACTAGACGTGTTTATGAAACTGTTCTAAGTGGTCTTGAAAAAATAGGTGTTAACTATCCAATTGGTTTGTATTCAAAAGATATTTTAATAAAATAAATAATGTTTTTCGTTTATAGAATTTATCAAAGAAAGTACTCGACCAAATTATTGGCAACCAGATAGTGAATGTAGTTCCTGTTCTATATGTAAATCTATTTTTAATAATACAACAAATCGATTACATCATTGGTATGTTGTTTTCCATTTTAATTTTTTTAATAATTCATATTTTGTCTTATAGTCGCAGTTGTGGCTATGGTGTTTGTGAACATTGTTCACCAAATAAACGTTCTGTACCCGAACGAGATTGGTTAACACCTGTACGTGTATGTAAAATGTGTGATCGAGCAATGAATGACGCATCTACTGAACGTAAATAATCAAGAATGCAGAAAGAAACCTTAACCATGTTAAAGAATTTATTTTTCTACGTCTTTCTTCTTGAACATATCTTTTCTATTTATCTCTTTATATGATATATTAAAAAAAACATTTGAAACTTTTTTTTCTCTTTCATTCTATTTTTATTTATCTTCCTAATCAGGAACACATACACTCTTTTTTTTTCAGTAGTGTGTGTATATGTATAGTTAACTTATTGTATTATTGTGAATAATTCTTCAGAGAAAAAAAAATGAAATATGTAAGTTAATGTACGTGTTCGATAAACAATATCTTCTTCTTTTTTTATATATAGAAAATGAAAATGAGAGAATAACAAAATTTTTACTTTAATAGAACGTATATAATGCACTTAAATATATCGAGGCAAAACGTTTTTTTTTCTTTTTCGTACAACAAAACATTTAGTCACGTAATATAGTAGAAATCTTCATCATTTTATCGAGACAATTCTAATGGATAAAATGAATATTAGTCGAGCTAAACCATTTTTCCATTTGTCAACATTTTCAATGGAAGTACCAGATCGTTTTGATGAAAGTAATAGATTTGATAATGATTTTGACGAAAATATTCAGGAATATATTCATCGTATTCATCATTGTTCAAATCGATCACAAGCTATTAATCTACGTACGAATGCTTTGAAATTTATTGATCAATGGCGTTTACAACGTTTAGAACAACTTGATCAACAAGCTCGATCATCTGGTCAATTAATTTTAAATGCATTTGATAAATATCAAAGTATATGTTTTTTTTGTTATTACAGTTATAGATATTTATTTAATTATTTGAGGTAAACGTCAATATAAAACATGTTCACATCGATTAAAACAATCTTCAACCATCGCTAGAAATACAACAATACCAGTGGTATCAAAAGAACAAAATATATATTCATCTTCATCAACAGCAAATGATGTATCAGACGATAATAATCATTATTTACAAAAGACAGAACAACAGATCGAAATTTCTGTTAATAAATTAAAATCTTCATCATCTATTCGTAAAAAAATTTCGTTTAATTCAATTGATTTCGGTCGAGATTTTACATTTGAAACTTTAGCACATTTATCATCTTCAACACAAGATAATGCTATGATTGTTTGTGAAAATAATACATTGATCTATTCACAATATTTAAATGAATTAGTTATTCTTTCACTTATTAATTCGAAAAATAATGCTTTGACAAAATTAGATAAGAAATGTATTATTCGTGATTTATGTTATGTTGATTGGTTATTTAAATGTTTAGTTATAACTAATGAACAAATTTATTTATTAGATTATCGAACAACACAATGTGATCTTATTGAATCAGGCAATGATTATATATGTGGTGCAATCGATAATCATCGTTGTATATTCTATCTAGTAAAACAATCAACATTATATAAATATGATAAAAAATCTTTATTAAATCTTCAAGCAGATGAATATCCTATTGCTGATGGATTTAAGTCACAGCGAATATCTCTTGATCATAAAACTAATGATCATTTAGCTTTATTAGTTAAAGATAATAATGAAAAATATGTTATATTAGTTTATTCAACAATATCACTTGCTGATGGTTATTTATATAAGATAATGATCGATGATCAAATTGAACGTGAATGGATTTGTTCAAGTGGAAATCAAGGTTGGCTTATACGAGGAACATATCCTGGTAGTTGTTTTGATTTAAATATTAATGGTCTTGGTTCTGTTCGTATATTTGATTGTAATGAAATACGTAATATTATTCCAATGAATGAACATCAACGTTTTATTATTCGTACTAAAACAGACATTTTCATACTTAACAATCATTCTGTTTCGAATTTTAATAAATAAATAAATAAAGGCTATTTGTTTTTTTTAAACACTGTTTTAGATGTTCATGTATAATGGATATTCATCATATGATAGTGAAATACAGCGACATAGTATATGTAATTCACCTTTATCATGTAGTATACCATCAGTTGTTGCTGAAAAAATTGCTATGCCTTATTTGTCGCATATATATGAATTAATTATAAGTAATCGTCCATTTTCCGTAACAACAGATAAAGATTTTAAATGGACACTTGAAATATTTGCATTTGGTTTTACATGTGAAGAAAGTGCAATATATCAATTATGTGCTAATGTTTATGTTGAATGGCTTAAAGTATTTGAAACAACATCAATAAATTCAAATTCAATTCCACCAATTTTACGTGAAAAAACGGAATTTTATTGGTCACAAATGTTCTGGCATCTTTATCATTTATTTGTTATACATGATGGTAAAGAAAATAATCTCTTGAAAATCAAACTGACGTTTTTCTTTATAGAAAAAACAGCGGATTTATTAACAAAACGAATGTATACGCATAAAGTATTACGTCAATTACAAATTATGATTAGTCAAACTGAACTAAGTTTTGATTTATGGCATATATTACTTCAAGTATTTTTAGCTATTGGTGATACTGTATTATCCCCAGCATATCGAAGTATAATATAAATAAACTATATATATGTCATTTTTCTTCTTCTTGAATTTCATAGCAAATGAAGAATGTACTGCCGTTATGAGCCATCGTCTTGTACCATCAATCTATCAAGTATTTATGGCAGCTATTGATAAAATACAAATTCCGTCAGGATTATGGAGAACATTTCGTGATTATGCTCAAACTTGGCGACATCGTCCTGCAGTTATATATGGTTAGATTTCAAAATAACCTATTTATTTCATTTCATTTCGATATAGACTGGGCTCAATTAACATGTGTGCTTACATCAACTGTTGTACATAAATTATGGTGGTCAGATATATTACCTTTGCAATATGTTTGTAAGTAATTAACGAAAAAAATTCTACTATTATTATTGTTCTTATAGGTACTGAAACTGATCAAGGTGAATATACACAGAAGATAATTGATTCTCTTCCATTAGATAAACTTATTATAACATGGATTCAATTTCTAACGATTCTACAAAATCCATCTGATTGTGGTGATATTTCGGTAATTTTGAAAATTTCAATAAAATGAATATATAAAATTGAAATTTAGATTTTTCTTCAAATGCCAAAATATTCTAGTCAATTACAGATAAATTCAAATTTGAAATTAAAAGATTTTACATCATTACAAGAATTACCACGTATATTTGTTAATATTACTAAAGCAATAGGAATGTTTGTTGATATATGGTTAGGTAAAAAATTAATTTATTTTCTTTTTTTTGATATAGATATATTCATCTTTTCTATTTCCGTTATAGGAAAAGAGATTGATCCCACATGTTTATATAGTCCAAAACCTTCAAATCATACAATAGTAATCACAAGTGATAATCTACTATCAACACCAAATCATCATCAATCATCGCGTGCTACTGCTCAATCTCTTCGTGGTATACCATCATTTGTTCAACATCATCAACAAGTTCCAATACCTACAACATTACGAACTACTCGCTCACAAGTTGACAATCGAAAAAGTACCGAAAATAATTCTTCTATCAAAAACTAAAATCTCTCTCTCTCTCTGTAGTCAATATGCCTTCTAGTCAAACATTTTCACCCATGACTCCACTACTTATTGCAACAACTCAACCTGAAAAACCTTCTCCTATAAAAATGATTCGAATCAATCATCCTACTGTAAATAGTTTTATGCATCTATATGGTTCATGGATATTAGACTGTTGTCTATTACAAATAAAAGATCGTCATTCACGTTCATCAATAAATGATAGTAAGTAGATAAAGTCTTATGTAAATGAAAGAACAAAAAAAAAAAGAAAAATAATTGACCTTATAGTATGGATGTCATAAGATAGATACAAAAAGAACGAATACGTCTTTTTCGTTTTACTTCGTTCGATTGATACGCCTGAGTGAACAGTCAATATATATACTATTTTGAGTATCTGAAAGTATTTAAAAATACTTAATGGCTATACGACAGAAGTTTTTAACAGGTCTAAGTAAGAAGAATTTTAATTTCAAATTATTTATTAATTTAATTTTTAGCTTCGCGAGCCAATGAAACTGAGAAGAACATTGACATTCAAGTAAAAAGAACGAAAAATATCTAAATATTTTATTCTTTATTTTTTAATTAGAATGAACGTTTAATGGATGAAGCATTTGCTAAATCATTTGCAACTATTTGTACAATATTTAGTAGTTCACAATGTGATGAATTTATTTATCCTGAATATTTAAGTCGATTTTATTATGTTCTACAACAAGGACTTCGATTTTATCACGGAGATGAAGTAAAATTTCGAAAAAAAACCATATGTAAATATCATTGTATTCATTTCTAGCAACGTTCACAAGCAATTATTGAATCTATACTATTAAACAGTGGTGATCTATTTCGAATTAATCTACGTGGTATTAATATTCTTATTTCACTTTATCTGGATGCTATGGAATATTATCTTCAAACTGATATACAATCTTATATAAATTATAATTTGAGTATATCAAAAGGAACAAATAATAATAATACATCATCAATTCGTGATCGTTTTATACGTATTCGTTCGAAAGCTATTCATATACTTATGTCAATTGTTGGTCTACCATTTCATTATGAACATCTTCAACAACATTTATTTGAAGATCATCTTGAAAAATCTCATGATGTACAAACAACAACAATTAAAACATTTTTAGACTATCGATTAAGAATATTTCCATTATTACTTTCTGCTCTACAAACAGAACAAGATATTACTAATACACAATTACTTTTCGGTTAGATATTCAACACTAGACAAAAAAATGTAACTTTTATATTCATAGGTACGATTCGATTAGCATGTTCATTAGCTGCTCATCATGAACGACAGCAAGAACAAACTGATGAAAATGTTAAGAAAGGTAACAGAACACATATTGTTACTGTACAAATACTTCATTTGTTCATGTAATCCTATGTAAATAATGAAAGCTAAGAACAAAGATAACTGACTAAATAGTTTCTTAATTAAAAGATATTATTCTGTTGTTTTTCTTTTACAGATTTTACTCCTGGATATTTAAGTCATGCCGTAATTCTCATCTGTGATAAAGGTACCAATGATTCTCACTTATTCTTAGCTGCACTCGATACATTAATTTCAATTGTAACAGATCCTATCTGTCAATTACGTATGTATATTATTCCTATTTAAATATTGTCTTTGAGAAATTTCGAATTATTTTTAGCGATTGATATATGGAAAAATGTTCTTAAACGTTTATGTACATTTGTTGATGCACAATTACATCGAAGTCCAAAAGATCATACACGTGAAATGCATTCAACATGTGTTGCAACATATAATACATTAATAACATTAATTATTGAACGACCAACATTACTTGATGATTATGAAAATCTATATAAATTATGTGAAATTATTGAATTAGGTATATCAGGTGAAAAAGCACAGGTAATATTTAATAATTCAAAAAAAAATACAATTTCTTTTTAAATTCATTTTAGACACCGGATGGACTTGTTTCGAAAAAAGATAAAGAATTTCATCCAGCATCACAACGTGTTGCAGAAGCTGCGGAATATTTAATGTTCGTTCTTTTCGAACACAAAGTAAGTAACACGCTCTGTGTACAATACGTGTCATCTTTATATTATTTTAGGCTGTATTACATTTAAAAAATGATATATGTCGAAATTGGTTAGATGAATCGACATTTGCGAATACGACATTTAAATATTTTGCAATTAATGGAAATACTTTATTTGCTATGAATGAATTACCATACAATGCTAATGATGGTTTGTGTCTTCTTTTGATTGTGTAATCAATTTTTTCGTTTGTTTTTTTAGGAATGCCAGCAATAATTCTTCTCTGCCGTGGATTATTTGGTAAAAATGTATGGACATTAAATTTTCGTCATAATCCTTTATCGAATTCAACAGTACAATATAATAAAGTGTTAAATGAACGAATTGAACATGAAAATGGTAAAAGTTCTTCATCACCTATTAATCATTCAACTACTGATCAAAAAGATAAATCTCTAATTATACATGGAACAAAAAATGAACGGACTAAAAGGTAAATAGTTTAGTAAACTTTTTATATTGATCATTAAAAAGTAAAAAATAACTTCCAGCGATCCTCTCCAACATAGCAGGTTGGTAATAAAGCCAAGCTAACCTAATGCATTCATGCTTTCTCTCTTTCAGTGTTTATCCACCATCGTAAGTATAAAATCTAAATGTTTTTTATTCAGCTTTTCTTTGGTTATGGTCGCTAATATATATCTATCGCTTAACAGAAATAACTAAACATTTCTATCTTTAGTGAATTAAGTATTCCAACATTAAATTCAATTCTTAAACGAGATGAAGAAAAATTAAATTTATTTCGAGCATTAAAAGGAAAACAAATACATATTGAAGAACAAGCTATACAACGTGCTCATATTTTCGATGAAAAACCATTACCAGAATGCAAACCACCTGAGTAAATTCATTTCTTTTCTTTTTCTTGTTAAAAAAATTGTTTTTCTAGATGTCAAAAACATTTCGAAAGTATTCGTTTATTTTTATCACATTACGGATTTGGTTCATTGGATTCTATGTATCATCTTATGAATGGAAAACATTGGGTAAATATTTCTGAGGAGAAGAAAAAAAAATAATATAGATTTTATTTTTAGAACGATACTAAATTATTTGATCGTCTCCAACCACGAATTCAATTATTAAATTCTGATTCAGATACATTTATGGATGATATTAAAAAACTTGATAAAATTTCACCAACACTTTATTGTACAGGACAAATTTATTATTTAAAAAAACATCAAACAACACTTTTAGATTCATTTTCAAATACGGTATGATCATAATTAATATATAATCATTAGATTTGTTTTTTTTAGAAAACACCAGAAGAATTAAATCCAGCATTTTTGACAATGATCTCACAATTCGGAACAGTTGTAGAAGTTATACGTCATTGTGGTTGGACAGGAAATATAGAAACAAGTTGGAAAACAATTGCTAATTCTCAAACAAGTAAGAAATAAAAAATTTTGAAACGATATAAATTCTCTTTAAATTAGATACAAATTCAAGTTCAAAAACATTAGCTGAAATTGATGGAGAAGATAGTATTTTTTATTGGGTAGATTTAACAACTGAAATGGCTTTTTATTTACCTCATCAATTTTCTGGTAAGTCATATTTCTTTCCTAATGATTATTTTCTTGTATACAAAAATTTTAGTTGATAATCAAGGTTCAGAAATGCGAATATTAATTGTTTGGTTGGAAGAATTTCGTGAAGATCTAGATTCAATTCTACCAGCTCAAGAACAATCATCAAAACTTCGAGATATTTCTATAATTGGTATTCATCCATTAAAAAATCATCTATTTCGTATTTTTCTCAATTCAAATGCTCAACGGTAAGTATAAGATTAACTAGAAAAAGTTTTAATGAATTTTTGCTATTAGAATGCAATCAGCATGTGCAAGTATTCCATTGATTGATGGAATGGTTATTCCACTTCATATATTATCATTTTTTCTGCGACAAGCTGTACATAATTTATGTCGTCGAAAACGTTTAGAAGATAGTCAAAGGTTTAATTGAATATTGTTTTTTTTGAAGAGAAAATGGTTTTTTCTTCTAGTTCTCAAACGGCTTATTCAGTACGAAAAACTCGAATAACTAAAATAATCGAAAAATATCAAAATCAAACAAATAATCTTGATGAATTTTTTCAAAATCTTTTCTTTTTATCAACAACAACGAAACAAGAATCGAATGCTCAATCAACTACAAATCGTAATCCAATGGTCGTTGTGCAATCGTAACATGTCAGATGATGCTTCCATTTTTTGCTAAAAAACAACCTCGGTGTGCGCCATTTTTATTCCTTTTTTTCTTCTTTGTTCTCAATTGTATTTCGAGCAAATGACAGTGATGATCTATGCACGTTAAGATATTCATTCTTTTTTTTTCAAGTGATTTAATATATAAAACAAAAAACTTCTTGTTTTCAGACTAGATGCGGTTTTCATTATACGAGTGGCGAAAACAGATTGCTTATTTTAAACGAAAGAATTTTAAAGATTTAAAACAAGCTCGTGGTGTTGTTAATACGATTGCATTTTTTGTTGTTTGGGGATACGCAGGTTATTTTATTGCAAATAGAGCCGATAAATCGGCTAAAGAAACAGGTATTCCACATAGTATTCAACTTGCTAGATTAACAGGAGAACGATACGTTACCAAGTGGAATATAAATACCGGTGAAAAAGAACAAATCGGTAAGATTTCAATACATTGAATGAAAATCAAATTTTCTGTTTTTTTAGACGTTCATCAAATCATAGCAGAAAAAGAACTTGAAGCACGGCATAAAGCTCTTGAAGAACGTCGTTTACGTGAAGAAATTCGTCAAGCAGCATTATCAACTAATTCAACTTCATAAATATGTTTTCAAATCCTAATTCCCAACTTATTCTTAATCTCGATCAAACTCTTCGTAATGTTCTTCAACAACCTACAATAGATAATATTCAATTATTTTTTTCTATCATTCAACAATGTCATTATCGTCGTATTGAAGATGAAAAAAGTATTCAAGATGATAGTTTATATATTCCAGCTATATTAATTTTACGTCAATTTAATCGTTTTCAAACTCCAGCATTATTCGATGAACTTCTTCAACAATTTATATCATTATTTAAACTTATACCGATATCAACGAAAAAAACACTTGATGATTTACTTTGTATAATTAGTATTATATTAACAAAACGTATAATGACAACCAATGATGAAGTACAACAAGATTTATTTGTTCGATTTTTTCGTTCATTTTGTTTATCAATAAAAACAAATTTAAGTTTTTTCTATAAAGATTTTTTAGGAAATTTTAATCAAAATCTACCAATTATTGGACATTATTTATCATGTTTACTTCAATTATATGAAAAAATAAATACACTTGATTATCGACTTCATATTATTGATACAATATGGTCAATTATTTATGTGAATAAAAATGAAAATGAGAATGATTATAGATTAATTATTGGACAGATTTTAGCTTGTTTTCTACCAGGTATATTAAAAACATTTGCACAAGATATTGGTTCAATTCATCAACGTCTTATTCAAGCAAATCTTACTCTATTAAGTTATATTATTCGAATAACTGTTATTCGTTCACCTAAATACACGACTGAAATGAAGAATGAATTACGTGATATTGTTGTTGAACGAAATGAACAATGGTTATCGATTGCTGATACACATATAGCACCGATTTTACAACGATTTACAACAGATTATGCAAATCATGAAAGTTTTTATGTTCGTCAAACACTTAGTATATTTATGTTGACAATATTAAGTTATTGTTCAACATGGTTAAAAATATCATCAAATATTGCATTAAAAACAATGCTTGTTCTGATATCATCAACAATAGATGAACAAAATGAGATTATAATAAAAGTTCTACTCAATAAATTATTTAAATGTAAGTTAATATCGTCTTTCATTTAAAATCAACATATTTTATTTTATTATAGTACCGATCGAATCATTACCTATATTACCATCTCAATTACCATCAACTGACTCATCATTTCTTTCCTATGAAAATGAATTTATTGAGGAAATTCTACATTCATCAAGTATTAGTTTATCCGATCATCTTTTAATCGAATGTCAAACTGATCTATTTCAATTGCTTGATCAAAAACAAGTATCAACATCATTATTAACTGATCGTCGATGGCGTTTACAATTATTTATTGGTTATTATACATTTATTCATCATCATATTGATTTTCTTTTTAATATTGAGACATTTACTGATAAATTACTTCATTTTATTTTCAATACACTTGATTTTGATACAATAATACGAAGTAATCTTAATTTACTCAATGGATCTTCATTACCAAATAATGATTATCGAACATTTAATTATAATGAATATAACTCTGTTTATAAACATTTAAAATCCGATGTTCATGATGAAATTAAACAAATCATTGAATTATTTACAACCTCACATTCGAAATTTATTGACTATTTATTTGAAAAAATTAATCGTAAAAATATAATTGATGAAAATAATCGAAAAATATTTTATCTTCTTTCAATTATATTTGAAAAAACAAATTTTCATAATATTGAAGAATATCAATCACTTTTATCATTACTAACCTATTTAATTTATGATAATGATAATCGAAAACGAATAATAAGAAAAAGAAAACAAATTCAATTGAAAGAAGAACCGATCTCAATTAGAAATTTAACAATCTATTATCTTCTTCAATGTATTCATACTTTAACTCCTTTAGATCAAATTGAATATTTCATTGATTATATTCCTTTACTACTTCTTTGTCATTCATCAAAATATACAATTATTCATCAAACATCTCTATTCTGTTTAACATTATGTTCAAATGATTTATCCTTATTTCTTGTATCACAATCTGAATATATCATTGATACATCACTTAGAAAATTACAAACATCATCTTGTGATGGTTATTTTATTTTAGTTGAATTTATTCGATTAGGTAATAAACAAGTTATTAATTTACCTATAATGGTACATGTTATTGAACAATTATTACTTGAATTATCATGTTTACCACCTATTGAATGTATTGAATTAACATTTCAATTTTTAAATATTTTTTGTCAACAAATTATCGATATAGTTGATGAAAAGAAAACGAAAACAACTTCGATATCACAACAATCAAAATCATTAATTGAATTTACTCTTGATTTACAACAACAATATAATCCACCTGCAATAGATACGTCTACAGAGGAAAAGAATGAAGAAAAAAAAGAAGAACATCCATGGCATAAAATGCTTGTGTCAATTGTTGATGTTTTCCAACATTTTATATCTCATTCAAATACACACATACGTTCATATGTACTTGATGCATTTCCATCATTAGCACAATTACTTTCAACAATTGATGAAAATTTATTTTTACCATTAGTTCATAAACTTTGGCCAGGTCTTATTCATCGTTTATATGATATAGATATTAATATTCGTATACGTTGTTTATCAACAATAGAATGCTTATGTCATATATGTTCCGAGTTTGTTGATCGACGTATTCGACAAGATATTTTACCAATACTTATTCAACAACTTGAAAAGAATCGTTTTATATCATCAACGAATACACTTGAATATCGATATGTAAAATATCTTTTGACAAATCTAGGAACAATTCTAAATGCGATTACAATTAATATTGATGATATTGAAAAAATAGTTTTAATTCTTTTTCAATATTTACAAATTGAACAACTAGCATCGAATGCATATGACCAATTAATATTATTAACAACGAAATATTCGGATATAATTTGGTTAAAATTAAATTTACATGAGGAAAATGAATATCGAAAAGGTTATTTTAATAAAATGAAAGTTTATAAACCTGAACCAATGTTCGTAATTGATCCAAAATGGAAATTAAACTTAATTTCTTGTTTGACAAATTGTTAGAAAATTGTTCTTCTCCTTTTTCTTTTTTGTTTGAAATAAAGTTATACATCCCGAGTGATTTAGATATATAAAACACGAACTATCAAGTATTTGATGAAATAAATTTCTTTATGTAATTGAAGAAATAGACGTGTTCTTTTTCATTTTCTATCACTATGTTGATGGAGCTATAAAAAGTGATGAAGAAGAAGAAGAAAAAAAAGAAGCAACAACGACGACGAACGAATCATATTCATCGTAGGTATCATACGATTTCAATTAGTTCTTCTCGCTAGATTTCATGATCTATATGTATTTACGTCTAACATATAAAGTTCAAACGGCATCAAATTGAAAATGGCATCATCCATGAAAAGCTTCTCTTTTTCTTCTTTCTTTCTTTCTTTCTCTTTATCTCATTGATAGATTTGATAAAACACCAACAACATGATGTATATATATACCTATATGTTGTTATTATTCGTTTAGTTTCAAATGTCAGTCTATGTTGCGAGGAGGAGTAAATTAAAAGAACACGAAAAAAAGAGAGAAGAGCGAATGAATCTTTTCTTATTCTTCTTTATCATCTATTTTGTGTTCGTTGATTGCACTATTGTATTATTATTTGCTGTTTATATATTTAACAACTATCGTTCATTCGTTCCGCAATTGAACACAAGATCATCAAATTGATAAGGTGAAATGGATATATCTCTTTTTCACAAATACGATGGCATCAAGTGAATAAAATAATTGAAAATGTTTCATTAATATCATTTTTCATTGACTATATATATATACACAAATACTCAACACCTACTTGTCAGTTGAATAGACATTGTGTTTAAACAATATGGAAATAATCTTATTCTATTACGGTAAACGAAAGGTTTCTTTTTGGAAAGTAGAGGAGAGAGCTCTTCTTGATAATTAGATACATAAATAATAGACAAATTGTCATGGGGATTGCTCTCTTCTTTCATCCTTTCATATCGTCGATGATTTGTTTTTAGTTTTTAGAATTTAATATTTTATTTTATTAGCTGTATAATAAAGGAAGAACAATTTCGATGATCAGCAGATTTTATATAGAACGCTGTCATGGAATTGCTCTCCTCTTTTATCAGCGAAATCAATGTTTATTTTAATATTATACATATATGATTTTGATGGTCAACAAAAATTAAATTTTTATTTAAATACTGTTCACCGATGATAAATGCACACTAGAAGAAAAAAAATAAATTGAGTTTTTTTGTTACAGCAGTTCTTTCGTCATGTTTATAATAGGAATTTAAATGTATAATTGTTGATTATAATAGAAGATGAAACCAAATGTAATCATAAAAAGTAAATAAGTTGGTAATGATAATTGATTTCGGATTGATGAATTACAATAATCTGTTGTACAGCAATCGACAAAAGCACCTTGTCCAAAGAAAGTTTGCGAAGCTGGATAGCATTTGGTTACACATCCTTTGGTTATTTGAGCAGTTTGGGTCAATGTATAAACTGTATTTGACTAAAAAAATACATCAATTTTTTTTTCTAAGATATTTCTAAATTAATAATCTTACCACACAAATGGTGTTTGCACTTGAACAATTAGCTGCATGAACCGATGATGATGTATTAGAAAAAACCAATGGACAGGGATTGCATGTCCAACAAATTAAAGCAGAACCTAAATCGAATAAAAATTTCTCTGGTGTATATTTTAAATAGATTTCCTACTTGACTGAAAGTAGAAGACAGATAGGACGAGGATGGTAATCATCATTTGTTTAATGAATGCAGCCATGATATTTTTGTTTTAAGAAATATGACGAAACGTTTGATGTATGTGCACTTTTTCAAATGATGCTGATTTATGTCGCAGCAGAAGAAAAAATGCCTTCTATTTAATGAGAGAGAGAGCACAAACATTTCTGTTTATTTTATAAATTTTTTTTTCAGTTTTTTATTTCATCAAATAGAAAGAAACTGACGAAATGTACATGTTGAATAAGTGCTGCCAAAGATTAAAGCAATTCGATTATTGTTGTTTTTGTTAAACAAAAACAACATTCTTCCATTACATAAATGAATATAAAGAAGAAGAAAAAAACTTCATGCAAGAAAAGAATGGGCGGTGTTAAAGTGAAATTGTTACTTTTTGAAAAAAATACCAAAACATAATGAACATATAATGCGATTTAAATGATTATGAAAGAAGATTTTTCGATAAATGAGGCAACATATCTATTGATAGTTTTCGAATGAACTTGAATTACTTTGAAAAATAAGAATGAATATTTCAAAATGTTTTATTTTTTTAAACTATTAGTTTCAGATTGAAATAGGTTTTCTTTTTAATTTAATATGTTTATAGAAGTGTCCTCATTCACCTCAGTTATACTACGAGATAGTATGATATAATAATGTGCTTCTCTCTTCGTCTTGGGACATGTGACTTCGTGTTTCTACTTGTATTCTTTTCCTATGATATTGAAATAAATACGTAAAAGAAATGAATCATAGCTCTATAAACATTAGAAACAAAAAACGAAAAATCATTCTTTTATTTTTCTTTGATATATAACTATTAATTATAATAAGATGACATCTCAACAAGCTAAAAATGGTGAAAAAAGTACAGATTCTACGAATATTAGTTCTGGTAATACTGATCGTTCAACTGGTACATCAGGTCAATTAGGATCTGCTTCGACAGCTGAACCTGAAGGTAGTTCAGCATTAGGTGATTCTAATTTTGCTGGTATGAGTACTGAAAGTGCTGCATCAAATCAGCGACAAAAAACTGAAGAAGGTACAGCAACTGGCTAAGGTACTGGTGGTGCTGGAGAAGGACAAGGTGGGGCTAGTCAACCATGGAATACATCATCAGCTGCACCATAATAAATTTACGTTCAATAAAACAGATTGATTAATGTACATTATATAGTATTATGTTTATTCCTGCTTGTTATCTGTAATACATCTATGAAACATTTAAAAAAATAAATTGCAACTTTGGAATTAATTATTTTTCTTTATATAATAATAGATATTTTTAGTTAAAGAAACGTTAAAACAATATATTTTGATTTCTTCACGATTTATGAAAAAACAATATTTTTGATTGTCAAACTAAGGATTCTAATTGCATTTATCATTATTACACTTTCTTGTAGAGATAAAACTAAACACATTATACAATCGTAAAATGGAAAATAGATTTCATAAAATCATTTAAACTAAAACTGTGTATATGGTTTTTTTTCTATTTTCTTGTATTTGATTTTCATGTAGGTTGTCGACATTTTGTTTTATTTTTTTTCAGTTATAAATAAATGAATTTTCTCCATACTATGACTTTACATATATCTTCTATAACTGGAGCTCAGGTTATTTAAGTTTCGAATAGCATTCGATCAGAGTTTTGAAAACAATACCATTAAAACATTTTTGATTGGAATGATTTCAGTTTTAGGTAGTAAAAACTGATAATATGAATCTCGATTTTATTTTTTTTTGGAATTAGAAGGCTCTAAATTTAATCTATAGAATGTACCCGAAAATAATCTCAATAAATTTGCTCTTTATTTTTAATCTAAAGATTATATGACAAAAGTTAATATCACTTTGATTGTTGTTTTCTTATTAATGTTATCGTTATTTTACTTGATATATTAGGTAAATCTTTTACAAATAGACTTCTAATACTTTTTTTATATAAAGAAAGAACAAAATGTTAATAAACGCATTTCTATTGTCAATTACGTTTTCAATTATAGTTGCGTGTTTTTAAAAACAGAAAACAATGTTTAAAGTCGTTGCTGTTTTTTTCATGTTATTAGTTGCTTCTCATGGCTTGTTTAATAAAGCTGGTAGTTATCAAGAGCGTCCTGACTTGATCGAAGACAAATCAGTTTTACTTTTGACACATTTTGCTGCTGGATATTTACATACATCACAAAATCTTCTTCTTCAAGATTATAGAGTTATTCGTGTTCAAACTCAACTTGTTAATGGTATGAATTATAAAATTGATTTTGTTGCTAAACCTGTCAATGATATTAGTGGAGAGAAAACAACATGCCAAGTTGTCATCCATGTTTCGTTTCAATCTGTTAAGAGTATTCTTCAAACTCAATGTCAAACAAGTTAAAAGAAAATATTGCTTCTTTGTTTTAAAATAAAGATGATGGAGCTTTAAAGAAAAAAAAACGAATATGAATTTATTTTTCCTACATGATTAACAGAGATAAAATTACTATAAGATAATACAGAATAGATCTTTTTTACTGAAATTCAACAAAAAAAATATTCATTTGTATGTAAATATATAATTAAATTCAAGAAAATCTATCAGTAGAATACTTTTGACTTCGATAAGGTATAGTCAATAAAAACAATGGATAATTAAAGAAATAGAGTTACGATTTATTGTTTCCTTAAGATACGACATCTTTACTACAAAGTATTCGTCAGTCATAAATTTATTTTCGTCATCTCATTATTAATAATCCATCAGATAGTGGATCAACTTTTGACTAATTGTAAAACGAATATCATTCCATGGGCATCCTGAATAGGGTGTGGGTATCTCTTCTTTTAATCTAGACCCACATCCTTATCTATCACGTTATTTTTAGGCCACTCTGGATATTCATCAAATCATGTATTTTACTGATATAAGTATATGTTTATTTCTTGTTTAAAAAAAAATAAAAGAATAAGAGTGTCTTCTGAATTAAAAAACGAATACAATAAAATGTCTTGAATTAATAAATAAATGTTTAGAAAACGGCCTATGGCAAGTATTAAACTTCAGTGTTGGTTGAGCGGATAAGGCCCTTCAGCCTTTTGATTTTGATTTGTTTTGGTGTCTTTTCTGCAGGTTCCTCTTGAGCCTATAGAAATAAAAGACAAAAGAAACTTGAAGTTTCACTTTTTTCGAAAAGTTAAATTACCGTGGTCGATTTCTGTTGTGAACGTTTAGTTTGACATTTTCGTTTACCTCCGAACGGTGCTGGAAGATTCTCACGTTCTTTATCTGAAAAACAAACATTTGGATAACATATCTGTAATGAAAATCAAGAGAAAGCCTATACGTTCGTATTCATAAATTGGTGTTGTTTCACATAATAAATCGGTTGCATAAGCCATCTGATTTTCATCGACCAAAAATATTTGAAAATGTAAGACAGAATAACGAAGATTATAGGTGCTAATGATCGCTTTCGCTTTGTCGATGTTGATAGAATGAAAACCTATTAATTAAATGGAATGAATATAAGAAGACTTACTTCTAATTTTTATTTTCTTACCATTACAATCAAGTTGATTGGATGTATAGATCGGCCATTGTTTGATTGTCTTCAGTGTAGGTTGTTTTATTCGTTGGATGATAAGATCTTCGATTCTAAAAAAGAATATCAATCAATATCAATTCTTTCTTCCTCAAGAAATAACACCAAATGTCTATACCTAATTAATTGTTCTTCCATGTTTTTATCTGTTACAGGAAATAGTATAGAACCATGATGAGCTATTGCATGCTCATTTTTTGTATATAATGGATATGGATGACAGCATATAGTTTGATCAGAATCAAATGGAATTGTAGTACGAGATACACGCATCATAAGCGACATATTCGCTGGTATACGACTTCGAAGATCGGGCATCTATGTGACATTAACAGAGATAAAAACAACAGTTAGAACTGATATGAAATATGTTACTTCAAGCTCAATGCCCTTGTTGGTCGGCGTTGAAATGAAACGAAGATCTTCGTCAAGTTCGTCTTCATACCGAGCACGTTGGTATGGATCTGGTTGCGTGATTAATCGTAATGATTGGGTATTACTGATGGAATTCGAGTTAGAAGGCACATCCTAATAACAAAAAAAAATGTTATTGAGATTCTTCTTTTTCAATGTGAATCAACAAACCAATGTTACGACTATAGCAGAATCTTCCTCAGGCGCTTCTGTAATTTGACATCCAATATTTTCTGAGTGCTCATCCAACGAGAATATCGCTTGTTCAAGCCATTCAGGTAATTCTTCATTAGAAACATTTGATTGTGCTTCTTCGAAACCTATGAAAAAATCGTATAACAGAGTAAAATAGTTTATCTACTCAACCTTTAATTAGTTCATCCGAAAAAGAATCGAATACACTAGGATCGAATTGTGATAGATCGACATTATTAGGATCTTTAAGCAAATCATCAATAAAGTCAGATGGAGCAGCTAAACAAAAAAGAAACCGATTATTGTGATATTTTTGGATGACAGAAACTTTCATACTCGAATTAATACAGCACCGTGATGGTGACGGTATATTATTGTCGATTGTTGTTGATGAAAATAGAAATTCTTCCATCGAGCTCATCGTTGAAAAAGTTTAGGCTGTATCTAGAATCAAAAGTTAAATTGTTGTAAAAGAAGAAGAAAAAATAGTTTTGTGCAGCATATATATAATGCAATGTTTCGGTTTTTTCCAACTACATTTCTCTTTTATTTTGACTATTGTTATTGCAACATCGTGTTCTGTTTACTTTTGTGTTACAGGATGAGAAAGAAAACGAAGCATACTTACTCAAGAAATATAGAGTGCGCCAACTAGCGCTGCGTCCGACGTGTCAGAAAACCCTAGAGTAATGTTAAGTTGACGAAAAAAATACATCCAAAGAATAGAAGCTCACATGAGGTAATCTGAAGAGTATTTTGCTTATATAGTATATGATCAATGTGCATCAGTAACTAACGACAGTTGCTATGAGAAGTCGAACGGTTATAGAAAAATGGCAGGTGTATAACGTCATGTTTACCTTGTGTGATGACTATTATTTTTCTATCTGTATTTCACATTATGACACAAGCATGACTCATGTCGATAGGTAAACTGGATTTTCTGTAATAATTTTGCATACAAGTCAAATGTATTCATCGAGGGTTGCTATCTGAGATTACTGAAAATGACGATGGTATAGTCAAAGTACTGAATACTTGAAATGTATATTTTCATAGTTTCAAATAAATAATCATTGATCATCCAGCAAAACTAAGAGAAGAATATTTTTTTCGTGTTTATGATAATAAATAAGTCTGTCACAGTCTGTGATGCTGATTAAAAAGTAATTAAATACCAATCCATTATTGATTAAACGCTAAGTAAATATTAATTACATACCAATTAACAATGTTCGTCACGCCTGTGAGAAAACCGTGGTCGAAACTTGTACCCCTATACATTTCAACACTCCTTTTAGATCGTATTTCATAAAAACAGAGACTATCGGATAAGTAGGAATGAATTCTTATAATGAATGACTGGTTAAATCCTCTAGTTCCCCGTTTCATTTCGAAATCGAGCGAGATTTTTCTGAATACAAATAGAAACTAAGCAGACTATTGTATCAACAAAGGATGTGGGTGTGCATGTGAATATGTTACTCATCTGACACCCATCCTATGTTATCGTACAGTAATAAAATAAAATATTAGATAGACTTTTCTTTGTTAGATATATAAATGAATAAATCAATTTTAATCTCTATCTCTCTTTGTTTAAATATTTCATCAAAAATAAGTGACGTTTTTTACATATTTATTTTGATGTTAATCGACAACATGTAGCAAAACATGTGAGTCATATATTTATGTTATTTTATCGAAAGATGTTGCCTTTCTACAACGAACCAAACAAAAGAACGATGTAACATATTTCTCAATTTGAAATACTCTTGATTTTTCAAGAAAGAGTCGAATATTCTTAATAAAGTCTTAGGAGACAGCAAGTAATATAGCACAGATGTAATTTCGTTCCATTTG